GTTAAAACTCCACTATATTGTATATCTTTTGGTTTTGGCATTTTGTTGCTTGCATATAAAACCTAGAAGAAAATAACCATTGTTGGATTGGACACTGGCTTTGTCTTTTACCTTTGATTGATCGTCTTTTTTAGAATCCAGAAATTATTTGAATTAATAATGCTTATTATTTTCAAGCAAAATGACAATGTTTACATGTTAGTATAATGAACAAGAATTGTTTTCCTTGTTGACTGTAATGGGCTTGTCAAAAACATAACTATTTGTCAATTGAGTTATTCATGAAAGCAAGCATATTTATAATATAAAGTGAAGGTTTGTAGTTGAAAATGATTCACAAGTACAACTAAAGACCTAAGGGGTTTTTAACTTTTTATGGTGGATCTTTTTTGAAATTTCCTTTGCAATTGAGACAAAAAACTTGAATGAAAATATTGTAGAGCACTTGTATAGCTGTTGATTGTCATAGAAAGTCATTGCCTCAATGTCTCTTTTGTTCTTTTATATGGAAGGGTTCTATTAATGTTGGCTCTTGTTGAATGTTGGTCGATAATGAACAGTTGAATTTTTTATATACTTAATATTGAAATTGAAGAAAAGTCTAATTTGATCATATGATAATCAGGTGGAATGGGTTAGGGCAGGTTTAACGGGTTTGGGATCAAGGGTATGTAGGCAGGTTCTGGAACGGGTAGGTTAATTTGCATGAGTACCCTACCCGTTGCCATTCCTAGTCAAACTAGAAAGTTTTGGGATGAAATTTGGTGGGTAGGCATTTTTGAACACCCTGAATCTGATGGAGGTGATGGATTTTTTATCAAAGGTGTAGATGGACAAATTTGGTTTGGGTCTAGGTTTTAGCCAATGGTTTATCAATTAATGAGAAGGCTTGAAATGTAATCACACTTTTTTAACGATCAAATGGAGGAATTTGGTTATGAAATGTGACATGCTAGGGTTTTTTGGGTGTCTAAACACAGTGGTGAGGTCTAATCAGTCAAATGAAGCTGGGATGGTGGATGATAAGTTCTAATCAATGATATTTATTGAAATATGATCTAAGCTTGATGGTGGATCAAACAGGGGGAGTTATAGACTATAGTTTCTTTATCTTATTTTCATTGAAATAGGATCTAAGTTATCTAAGCCCTATCCTAGTCCTAATTACACTACAGTTTCTTTATCTTATTTTCATTGAAATCTTCTCTGTATGGGCATTCTAGGTGCAATACATGAAGTTGTTAGTGGAGTTATAGACTCAAAAGTTTCAACAAGGTTGTCAGCCTTTAAACGTCCACCCATGGACAAGTGGGCTTCTTTGGTTGGTGGCTAGTTTGAAGGTTTTGGTGGAGCCTTTAAGGACCAAAATTCCAAGGCACATACCTACTATCATTCATTTAATAGGTGAGATGAGATTCTAATTCTATTTACATGAGAGTGTTTAAGCATGTAAGAAAAATACAAAGACAAAGCAAAGAGCAAGGGGAGAATGTAACCACGTGTTTGAATTTACAAGCAATCCTACAAGTTTCTAGGTGACCACACTTTGGAACTAATAGAAGCTAGATTCTCTTGATGCTTTATTGACTAAAACAAAGAAAATGATAGTGCAAAACAAGAAACAAATGCAATTTACTCCTACCTAAAGATATGGCTAATCACATTCAGTTATAGAGAAAGAGAAAACTACAATTTTTGAAAGATTAACAAAGGAAAAGAGGGGGGGGGGGGAAACAAAAAAGAAAAAAAGGGGCTTGTAATTTTTTTCTACGATATTGAAGGCTAGTCACAGTAAAGATCCGGTGCACTGCGATGGGAGGATAAGTTGCGATAACAAGGTGCGGGAAAGGTAGACGGGTGTGACCTAGGTACGATGGGCATGTTCTGAGTTGCGATGGGGAGGTTCTGAGTTGCGATGGGAGTGTTTTGAGTTGCGATTTTGAACTTTTGGGCTGTGGTGGGGTGAAAGGAATTGCGATTTTGAATTTCTAGGTTGCAATGGGTTGAAAGGGATTGCGATTTTGAATTTCTAGGTTGCAATGGGTTGAAAGGGATTGCGATTTTGAATTTATGGGTTGCGATGGGATGAAAGAAATTGCGATTTTGAATTTCTGGGTTGTGATGGGTTGAAAGGAATTGCGATTTCAAATTTCTGAGTTGCGATTGGGTGAAAGGAATTGCGATTTCAAAGAATATATGTTTTGGGTGAGACCTTGATTGTGATTTTGGTGAAGACGTGGTTCTGGGTGCGGTTTTAGATGCAATTTTGGCAAAGGTACAATTTTAGGTGTAGTTTCGGGTGCGATTTTGGCACAGGAATAGTTTTGGGTGAAAGATTGGTTGCAGTTTTGTTACAAGAATGGTTTTGGGTGTACAAGGAAGAGGTCTCCCGTGCCAACGAACACTAAAACGCGGTTTTGAATCATGTTGGGAAGGTCTATCATGCCCATCCTTCTTAATGTGTATTTTGAATCCCAATCTAGCAAATTTTAAATTCTTAAATCTTCACAGCGCACAAACAGAAAAAGTGCAAAATTGAACCCAGATAACACCCTGTAAAGGTCTAGGTAATTTCCTAGTGGAGCTGTCAGTTGTGAACTCTGGGAAGCTTGTGGCTGTCTCAAAAAGTAGGAGTCGCCACCCATTTTTTTTAGAGGAAATGGACCCTCATTTTCATATTCGAAAAATCAATGTCTTTGATAGTGACTCCGTTTTCCATGGGAAAAGGCACACAATCTAGAGATTTTGGGTCCCAAGGGTTGGGAGAGGGAAGGTATTAGACATCCCTCTCTCGAAGCCGCTTTAGCAGTCAAATATGGGAGTTGTTCAAGCTCAATTCTTAACGAAGAAAAACAGAAATAATTGTAAGAATTTCTTAAATATGGAAGAACATGCTTTTAACTTATCCAAAGACTGATTTTGAGGTGATGCCTCTCTAGTTTCTCTCTCTCTCTCTGAGGGCCTCCCTTTGAGCTCGAGTTGGATCAGTATTTATAGAGAAATAGAGAGGAAGAGATCTGAAATTTGTCTAATCACAAGGCTTGGGCTTCAAGAAATTTTTTTCACAAAAACAGGTAAGGATAAGGCTGCAAATAAGTCGGATTAGATCAGATCCTATCCGAATCCAATATCGGTCCGTTAAGAGGTGGATTCAAATATCCCTCCTGATCCTAACAAATTGGATCGGATAGGAAGTTAACGGATCGAATTTGGATATTGGCTTATCCGATCCGATCCATTTGTGACCTGATTCGATCCGTTAATTATGAAATATTTTATATTATATATTATTTATTATTTACATATTATATATGTATATTCTATATTATTTATATAATTATATATAATATATAATATATTTTATAGTTTAATATATCATTATATTATATAAATAATATAATATATTATTTTATAAATATAGTTCTAATCGAATCGGATATCCGATGATATATTTGAATTTGAATCATACTTTTGAGAATCTGACGGATCCTTATTAGATTCGGATCTATCGAGTTTTCTTAACTAGTTGGAAAGATATGCCCTTACCGAATCCGATTTGATCTGTTTGCAACCCTAGGTAAGGATTCTTCAAAGAAAAATGTACTCAGTCAAGATTTTTTCTTTGGTGAAGTGTTTTCTTCGAATTGGGGGTGGATTTGATGGGTTTCATGTGTCAACTTTGGGCCTGTCTATCATGACAGTCTCGTATTTAAGACTGTTAGTGGCAGAAAATGTAAATTTGATGAACTTTTAAATATGGTTTTGTCTCTTCTTAGCTTTAAGTGTGGGTATTTTTGAGGTTTCAAATGGGTCTTACATCAGCCCAAATGTTTAAACAGGTCAGGAATGGGTCTAACATCAGCCATCACACTTTTGAGATTTCAAATTGGGATAGATGAGGTGGTGATTTAATCTGGCGCGTTGAAATGACATATTCCTAGTTTAATAGTCAAACGAGTGAATTAAGGCGTGAAATTTGGCATGCTAGGGTTTTTTGGGTCTTTGAACATAGTGGTGAAGTCTGATTGGTCAAATAGGATTGGAATGATAGAGATTTATGGTTGCCAAGTTCAGATCAACGAGATTTGCTGAAATAAAACTTTTGCTTGATGAATGGTCAAATGGGGGAATTTTGGGATGAAATTTGGTGGGTAGACATTTTTGAACACCCTGAATTTGATGGAGTTGATGGATCTTTGATCAGAGGTGTAGATTGACAAATTTGGTTTGGGTCTAGGTTTAGCCAATAGTTTATCAATTAACAAGAAAGCTTGAAATGGAATCACACTTTTTTAACAATCAAATGGAGTTTGGTCATAAAATGTGATGTGCTAGGGTTTTTTGGGTCTCTAAACACAATGGCAAGGTCTAATCAGTCAAATGAAGCTAGGAGGGTGGATAATAAGCTCTAATCGATGAGGTTTATTGAAATAGGATCTAAGCTTGATGGTGGGTCAAATTGAGGGAGTTTTGGAATGAAATTTGGCGGATAGTTGTTGAAATAGGATCTAAACTTGATGGTGGGTCAAACGAGGGAGTTTTGGAATGAAATTTGACGGATATGCACGAATTAAGGTGAGGAGTCAAGTAGATGGTTTTGATATAAAAGGAAAATGGTTAATCTAGATTTTTTAAATCAGGATTGTCATAATGGAATTTTAGCTCTTTCAAGATTGATCGTTGTAGACTTACAATGAGATTCACTAATTGATTGTATCCTAATGATATGATGAATGTCAAAAGAATATTTTTTGGCTTTGTAAAATCTCAATTTGATCTAATTGTATTTCTAAGTTTCAAGGTTTAAAAGGAATATACAAGGAATGAAACAAAAACTGGGTTTATAATGTGCATTGAAAACATTTCCCTATTTATGTATTATTATTTATGGGAAATATTCTCAATGCACGGTGGGATGTGCCTGTGAGACGCTCTGCATTATCCTACTCGAGCAGTTTTTTTTAGTGGACCAGTTGCAGCATCAAATATCCCATCCAAAACCTATAAAAATCTCAGGCTCTCAGCTCCAATGCGAGCTACTGAGCTAGTTACCTTTTCCCGCCAACAAAACAAAGAGGAAGGAAATGCTTCTTAACTCCCTCCACATCCCAACGGTCTGCTCCATCATCTCACCCAACCACACAACCCCTAACCTCCGCCGTTTCTGCTCTTCTACTCATCCACACCCTCCGCTCCTCCTTCGATTCCGTACTTCTCACCGCGAGAATATCCGATACCTCAAAACCCTAGGAATCGTCTCAAACAACAACAGACCCCCTTCCCAAGAATTCATAGACCGAATCCTGTCCCTCTTAAATTTCCTCAAATCCAATGGATTTTCGGAGGCGGATTTCCGCCGACTGTCCTCCATCTGCCCCAGACTCTTCTCCTCCGGCATCGACCCCACTGACATAGCACCCGTTTTCGACTTCTTGACTGACGAACTAACAGCGTCTCCCGACGATTCTTGTGGTTTGATTCTTCGGTGCCCCGGGATTCTCTTTTCTGACGTCGAATTTTGTCTGAGACCCACGCTTCTCTTTCTCAGGGGATTGGGATTGGAGAATCTCAATTTACCGACTACCCTCAATGCTCATCTGCTCAACACCCGCGTCGAGAGGCTCATTCCAAAGCTCAGATTTTTGAAGAGCTTAGGGTTTTCAGATGAGGAATCTGCTAAGGTTTGTGTCAGACTGCCTGCAATCTTCGGTTACAGCATTGAAAATAATCTGGGGCCGAAGGTTGAATACTTGGTGAAGGAGATGAAGAGAGACGTTGAAGAATTGAAACTGTTTCCTCAATATTTCGCATTCAGTCTGAAGAACCGAATAGTTCCGAGGCATTTGCATTTGAAGGAGAGAAATGTTCAAGTCCCATTGAAAAGGATGCTGTTGTGGAGTGACCAGAGATTTTATGCGAAGTGGAAGTGAAATTCGGTATGGAATTACTAATGAATCCTTGACTTTGGGCTTTTTCTTTCTCCATGTAACAAAGGCTCTATGTGTGCGTCTCTGTTAATATTGTAACTTGTAAGTAGAACTGTGGATGAGATAGAGTTTATCGGGTTCCACTGCTTTTCGATTTGAAGGAAATGACATGCTGTGTTCTTGGTTCATTTTCAGAACAAATGAAGATTTTCAAAATACATCAATTTAGAGTTTTGATTTCTGGGGCGTATTTACATTGCCTGAGAATTTTATTCAGCTTTAAATTAGAACTGGTAGTGTCTACTTCAGACACCAGTGCTTTCTTTAGCTTTTTCGCTAGAATGGAGGAATAACGAGTCACGTAGTGATGAGCTTTCTCATTGGGCCTAAATTTCTCATGCCCTAAGTTCATCTCTTCTGTAGGGACCAGAACACTTTGCCATGTAGGCTATGCAGCTACTTGCAGGGAAAATGATTGTGATTGGTATGTTGGTGAAAGAGCAAATTAGAGCTAAAAAGATTTGGGGAAAGGATAAAACATTTGGGGAAAAGCATTAAAATTACAGTGCTTTACCATAAAAAGAACAAATAAATAAGTGTCCAATTATAAAAACAAAACCAGTGAAAAAAACAGGCATATAACAGGCTGTTTTGACATAGCATTTTGCTAAATAGAACAGTATGATCAAACGATTGTTTTAACCTTATTGAGTTTCTAAATTGACGCTTGGTGTTATGGTAAAATATCGAGCTGACAATTGTGAGAATGTGAACTCAAACAGCCACTGTAAAAAATGCAAAAAATGCCAAAGATTAGGTTCCAATCCACCCCTCCCAAGACCCCAGATAGCTGGGACAAACGTTCCTTTTTGATGCTTGAGGTTTGAAAAGAAATTGTTTGAAGAGGCCAGAATTTCTTTGTCCATTTCATAAGGAACTTAGCTCAGATCATTCCAGAGGAAAATAAAAAAAAAAAGAAAGGTTAGGGGAAGAGAAAAGCTTCCATGGTTTTAAGTTTTAACATGAAAAGGAACTTTGGTTGGATCATTCAGAAAGGAAAGAAAGAAAAAGCGTACCTGGATTTAACATTTCTTTAGAAGGAATTCTGCTTGGATCATGTTAAAAAAGGAAAAAGAAGGAAATGAAAAACCTCCTCGGATTCAATACTAGTTCCCTTTTTGCCATGTAATTGATATTATTTGTATGCATGCATGGATGTCTACATGCTGAGTCTGCATTCTTTCTGTTTCTAAGGAAGAAGCAGTATTCCAGAAGTGCTTTAAGGAACTTCTGCATTCTTTCTTCCTCTCACATGCTATTTCACATTATTAGGAAGAAGAGGAGAAACATCTTACACCATTATGGAACTAACTTAATTGCCAAGTGACTCGTTGATTATCCAATATTGGCGAGTCCTGTACAGAAGGAAAATTGAGAGGGGAGGGGCGGTAGACATAATGGAGCTCTGCCAATGAGGTCTCAACAGCCATTTTTTAGGAATAGGATACATATATAGTATCACAAATACACAAGGGCTTGTACTTTCAGGTAACTGGCAACTAGTTGGTTGGGGAAGAGACATGGCTATTATACAATGAGAACCCAGACAACATTCAAAAATACAAGCTTTTTTTTTTTCTATTGACACAGACTTTCAAACCCCATATATTCGTTATGCTCCAGCATTTCAAGCATATTTGCTATGCCCACGCCACCTGCAGCGTAAAAGGTAAACTGTTAAGACCTTTCTCATGAGCAAAGAGATCGAGACATCCCTTTGGAACCAAAGTTGAGTGCTACTGACCTAAACTTAGCGCGCTTACAAATATGGTCATAGCTAGGATGAAGATGATTATGGATGCACGGCCAAGTAGTGTTATTAATTTTCTCACCACATGCTGACCAGTAAATGCAGCAATTGTTGCAACTAAAACAAAATAGGAAGCTGCAGCAGAAAGTAAAATTTCCTGTTAGGTCCATATCAAGTCCATCCTTCCAAGACCCTGTATAATTATTGGATAATAGCCCAGTTACATGTAGATTCTTTTCTTTCTTTCTTTCATTTCCTTTTTTTTTATATATATATTGACCTGAGAAACAAAGCACAACTACTCAGGTTGGTTTTCCTTTACTCAATGTCAATTCCTTTTTTTTATTCTATTGAGGTAAAAGGGATTTAATGTCTTTCCATTCTTTTAAAGAGGAAATTCACCATATATCCTACTCACCATATGGGACCGGAAAACGCTTGAGAAGGTAATACTGTACAACTGACATGGAGGATGAGAAAACCATTACAAAAGTTGATGTTGCACTTGCTACCTGCAAGAAGGGCAAAAGTGAAAAAGGAAATCCAAGAAGCAATATTAAAAGCATGAAGAATAGATCTTTAATCACATGAAAATCTTTTACAAATCTGACTTATCTAACCACTCATAATACTTTTGCAGCTTTAAATATGAAATAGAAGCAGCTTCTTTTGAATGATTTTATCTATAAATAAAGTTTTATTGTCAGGAAATAATATTTTATAAAAATATTTTCCCTCATTTGGGTTTAAAAAATATAGGTTTTCCTATTTATTTTCAGGTAAAAACTGTCTACTGTTGCTGCAGGCTTCAGAGCAAGTAGCAAAGGCATTTGCTGACATATGGAGGGCTGGCTTAAGAGGAGATCCAGATAATTCATTTCAAAAAGGACCTTCTGAATTGTCATGGACATACTTACCCTATTAAGATCAACTTCATACTCCCACTTGAATAATTTTCCCTTAGTTTTCTTAATTTTCATTTGTAATAAGGGCCAGAAGTATGATCATTTATATGACATGATAAAGATTATTTGCTTCAAGTTTACTACATGGAAGGAGCATAATTAGGAAAACCATATGGACCCAATTTAAATTTCCACTTCAGCTGCCACTGGTAAAAGATGTGCATGAACAGTTTCCTGGACAGAAATATGCAAGGAAGATAGAAGGATCTAATTTCATCTAAGAATTTCCAAAGAACAACTATGCTAATTAATAACTTTCTTTCTTTCTTTTTTTTTATTTTTTATTGAGCAAGTGTAAGTGGTTAAAACAGTTTGTTGTTAGAAGCTGAAAGCATAATTTGATGCTGAGTCTGGATATGAGGTTCCCCCTCCCCCCAAAAAGTGTACATTAAACCTAGGAAGCCTCATGTTTTAAATCTTATTATAATCAATTATAGTGAGAGATAAATTCTTTAACAGCATTTGATGCTTGGGATACCTGAGGAGGAACTTCCAATTCAAGAAAAAGGGGTCCCAAGATGAAGCCTCCTCCAAGACCAAGTAATCCGCCAACTATACCAGCAACTATCCCACAGAAGCAGTAAAGGAAAAGCAGGGGCACTTTCCAGTTTGTTAATTCTTTACCCTTGGACGCAATTACTCTCTTTCCTCTGTACAAGCAGATGGCTTCATATAGTGACACAGAGGCAGCAATTGGTACCTTCAAAACATGAGACAACTATGTTAATACAAACTGGCTTTTGGAAATCAAGGGATCTTAATCCAAAGAAGTGTCTGATTAGTAAATAGGTAAATTGTCTTCCTTAGGCAACTCAAAAGCATGTGCCTCAAAAAAGAGAAGACAATCATAAAATAGGCGAATGGGTTTATGACCTGAATACTGAAGCATCTATGTGAGACCAGAGAGATTCCAGAGCTAGAAGACCACCCCAAGTAGAAAATTCCTGGAGGTAATTCTCTACTTAGATTGCTTATCAACTTGGGCAGCCAAGTGAAAATATTAGCTATTGTTTATGTTTAAGTACATACTTTTTTTTGTTGTGTTCATTTTGTGAATGGTTATATTCTTATGGAAATCTCACCTGTATCAAGTTTAGAAGCCAGTACTCCAAAGAGCATGTTTTGGCGTAAGTCTGCAGACATTGAGAAAGAAGAAAGTTGATAAGCATTCAAAAACCAAACTATAAATTGGACAGTGCATGGCATCACTGACTAGGCAACTAACCTTAACTATCTGTACAGCAAGGAAGGCCACCCACACAAGCACAAGCAGCGTTAATTCTTTCCAGTAAATGTTATCTATCAATGGAACCTGGATTTTGATAACAAGAATATATGGGTGCAAGTCTGAGAATATTCGGAAGTTGGTTAATGTACAAATAACTTAGCATATGCAGAATTACCTCATCATCTAGCAATGGATTTGGACCACTTGGTAATGGTTTGTATTCCAGCCCAGGACCATCTGAAATTCAAAGAACAAGCTACTGATACTAAGTTAATTATCCTTGGTACTTATTTGCCCTTATAAAAACTAATTCTAAGATCAGATAGTTTGGCCATATAGCCAGCTTGAGATTTGGTCAGGAAATCTGTTTTCTGGGAGAATGGAAACTTGCTAAATAGTAGTTTCCAAATCCCTAAAATGCATGCAATTCATAAGATGCAGAGAATACACATTCTTCATATCCTGCCTGCCTGACCAATACGGTTGAGGGGAGGAGGATGTTGCGTCTTGTTTATTCTTATTTGTTATTTCTGTGCTATAATCTAAATTACTTAGTGTGTCTGTGTTTGAATCATGACCAGGAGTGTCTTGAAGCATAGTGGGGCATTTCCCTTTGCTTTTTTCTCACTTAGTGAAAACAAAGCACCACCCTTGTACCATTTCTAATAGCATCATAATCCTAAGGGAGGTTTATTTCTCAATTTGGCTAGGGAAGTTAAAACATCTGAAAGAATGCACTGCTGCCTCTTTCCTCTACTCTGGATTTCTGAATGCTTCAAAGCCCAGGAACGTCTTTGGATGTCCTGGGCATTTTTCTCTCACCTCTATCAACTTAACAAGGAAAATCCATCTGTTGAATGTTTTGATATTTATGAGGAAGTTTTTCAAGTTTTGCTTGGAGGGATCTTTGGCAACTTACCAGTCGGTTTAGATTCTGACTCCAATAATTTGGCCGCCTCCTGAAGTCAAGTAAATAGAAAACCATTAATTAATCAAGTCCAAGAAGGAGATAGCTGTAGGGAATCAATATATAGGCATATAGCAAGTGAAGAAACTTGCCTTCTTCATTATAGTCTCTTTCTTCCAAGTCTCTATGCCTTTGAATAATGCTTTAGTCGATGTACCTACCACCATAAATTTACACCGTGTCAGTCAGAGCATCAATTTCTGATTAGAAAAAAAATGGTATAGTCATATAATTGCCTTGAATACTAAACAGATTAAAACTAGTTCCTTGGTAAAAAAGAACCTTCTCTTTGTTTTTTATCCCCTTCAACCTTAATATATTGGAAGCTAAGATTCTTTTCAGCAAGTGAAATTAAGGGTTGCAACACAGAGAAAATGGCCTAATTGATAGGTTAGATGATGCAACTCATTGGGGCTTGATTCCCATAATTTTTCCCCTAAAAAACCTCTCAAGAACCCAAGAAACAGCATGACTTCCCACTAGAATCAGATCATGCTTTTAGTAAAAAGTTATTTTACCCAGAAAGAGGATGATAAGCAGAACAGTGACCATCCAATCAGCAAACATGACATTGAAGGCAACCCCAATGCTGATGCCTAACATGAGCATGGGCTGAAAGAGCAGAGCTAGATCATAATCAATGATGGGCAACTCCAGCGTTGGGTGCCGGTGTCTCAGATTGTAATACACTGTTGACCCCGCTGCACCCATGATCATACCTGCCAAAATAAATATCAAAATTAAAAAAAAAAAAAAAACAGTGAAACAGTTAAAATTTTGAAAATTGAGGCAGCAGATATGTCATAATCTCTCCAGAAATCTGCCTCGAAACTTCATTAAAGTTAAACAGTGTAGTAGCTTATAAATATTTGCAGAACGTATCAATTGGTAAATACCTAAAAAAAAAACTTATTAAATAATGAATAAGTGACTAATAAATAAAGTGGTTAATGCGAACATTTAGAAATGGCAGTGGAGGATTTGGGGTCGAAGCCGATGATCAAGGTGAGCATTGGCACGAAAATTCCACCACCACCGACTCCTCCAACGCTGCCCACTGCTGCCCCAAAGAATCCGATTATTGATCCCAGTACCAATCTCCATCCAAACTCCATCTCCTGTTACAGACATCCCCAAGAGCATTAATAAAAAATAATTAGCAAGGAGGAAGATCTTTGTATTTAATGAACTGGTGGTAATCTGTCTTTGTATTAGGGAGAAAATGATGAAGCGAAAAGAACAATGGAGAGAGAGAGAGAGAGCACCGGCCAAACATGGTGATAAATAGATTTCCCGCTCTGCCACAGGAAATTAACGAGCCTGACCATAAAACCTTCTTCTCCCGTCTCTTCCTCAGCCGAAACTTCTCCACAAACATGTCTGGAGAGCCTCTCTGCACCACCCACCCGACTCACCATTATGATACCCAAAACCACCACCCATGCTGTTGCTTCTACAGCTCTCTGTTTCAAAACAACTGGAGCCATCTAGACGCAGTGCGTGGGCGCGCGCGCGTATGATCCTTTTTTTTTTTTCTTCTTCTTCTTCTGACTGACCGACTGACTCCACTCCTTCGTCCTGGAATTCGCGTTACTTGCCTGCGGATTGATGTAAATACTTTAAACTCCACTCCAAAACATACATAAAATTAAAATGGAATGGACTTTTACGTGGATCATGATTATACTCTCCTTCCAAATACGGATAAAATAAAATTAGTATAAAGTTTTATACCATTCTTGATTATACAGAGAAATTTCTGTAAAATTTTATACCATTTTTGATTTACACAAAATTTTCTGTCCCCTCTAATAGCAATCAAACACATAATTGGTCTCATTTAATAGTTCAAACTTAACGTCACTCGGACTCAAAGTTTATTTTTGTTTCCATTTAGGTGCCTAACCCACTTTATTCTTTTTATTTTCTTTCTTATCTTGCGTTGTATCCCACATTCCCACTTCTCTCTCTTCAACCGAACATTCTACAACCACCAACATTCAGCTCTAGTCGTTGATATCACAAAAATCAACCGAGAGTGGTTCTTCTAAATTTAATAGATCTCAAAGAAAATTGATGGAGGGTGATTTGGCCCGATCTCGTAGCACAGGGACACGTGTGCGTGACCTAGCTCGACAAACAGCTTAGCCTAACAGCATAATCATGATTCGATGGGAGGGACCCGCCGAGTTTAGCATTGGCCGCTCAGCGGATTAAACAACTCACCGGGGACTAGCGCCCGACCAACCTTGACTCCCACCAAGTGTGGGAGATCCCGAACCCCTCTCAGGGCCCGAACTCCTCTTGGGTCCTGAGCTCTCCCTTCCTAAGAAGGGAGCACCCCGGCTTTTGGCTAAGTGTCCCGAGGGAGAAACACCTCGAGGCAGCACCGTCGAGATTCCTGTTCGAACTTGCTTAAGGCTCGGTTCCAATGCGGGCACTTCGGTGTACCTCGACACTTCGATGCAAGACAAATCTGCCCTAGGTAGTTCGGTGTACGGTAGCTCGGCAGACTGCAAGGAGATCTGCCTGACATCCGTGCTTGCTTGACATCCGTACCTACCGGATTCGGTGGCAGTGCTCGGATCCCTTGCCAGGCGGCGTTCTGCTTGTCGTCTCTGAAAAGCATGGCATGCTTGTCGAAGTCCGTACCTTGTAGTAGTAGCCTGTAGCAGCAGCCTGCACCTGCCACCTCTGCCCTGGCGATAACGGCTAGGGCAGTGGCGGTTACACCTGATGTGACCGAGCTCCGATATAAAAGGACCCCAACCCTCACGAAGCGAAGGTATTGAAGCTAGCACTTTCAGCACTCTTAACTCTATGTGTCTTCTTTAAGTCTTCCCCAGAGTTCTAACTTAGCCATCGGAGTGTTCCCTCCGAGAGAGCTCCCAGGGAACCCTTCACCTTCTTCTTCCTCTCAGGTGCCGTCCATTACTGCTAGGAACCAGCTCTCAGCCAGCTAGGAGTATCCAGATTGTGCTGCATAATAACAATTGGTTTTAGATATTCCGATCTATCTATCACATGGTAAAGGAAATAAATTATATAACCAAACAAAAGAATGAAACAAGTGAAAGCAATTGAGTGCCATATTTCTCTCTTACTCTTCCAAATTCCGATTTCCAGGTGCTCTCTGATTATTGCAATGGCGTGCAGTGTCTCTACATAATTGAAATGTATGAAAAAACTATGTACCTTTGAAAGAGTTAATGGCTCCTCATCCTGTTGCCGTTTAATAAATCATCTTATTAGCTTTCATCTTACATAATAGTTCTCTATTGTTGTACCAAGAAGGCAAGAACTATTATCGGATTCTAACATATACGCTCTGTTAATGTTTCTCCTCGTGAAGAAATGATTTTTCACTTTTCTTTCTTACTAGAAGTGATATTTTATTCTTTTACTTTCAAGTGAAAAGAGAAACTTGTATCTGAGTTCTGGGTATTGAGGGTCGATGAGAATGAGGAGCCCCAATTTCATACATACAGTAGTAGATTATTGAACTTGGGGAATTGAGAACTCCACCAATTCCATTATCATTTCAACTATCTCGAGCTGAAGATTATTCACTGGTGGAGAAATCTATTGTCATTTCAGATGAGAAGATTTTTCACGGTGAAACTGAACATCAATAGAATAAAGGCATAACTGGTGGTTGTAGCATGTTCGGTGAGAGAGAAGTGAGATAGAGCGGAGGAGAGAAATTAAAATAAAAAGAATGGAATGGAGGTGGGTTGGGCGCCTAAATGATAACGTTAAATCTAAACTCCGTCAATTTTAAATGGTGAATGGGACCAATGATGTTTTCAATTACTATTGGTGGGTACAGACAATGTGAGCTACTATATTTATATCTACGTAATAACTAAAAAATGGAATAAAACTGCTTTTTTATTATAAATTTATAATCATTCAATTAAACCACGACATTCAGAATTTTGAAACAACCGACTAATGAGAGTTACCATCTACCCTTATTTTAACTACTGCAATGACACGTTTTGTGCTCGTGTATGAGAAAAAAAAAGTGTTTTTCTTTTAAATAAAAAATATTATATTAAACTGTAAGAATCAGAATATGGGAAGACCTCATAAAGTGGCACGGATACCAATACAAGAAGGTTGTGTGGTTAGTGGTTACAATTCATTCTATTAACATAAAATTAACAGTATTTTTTACATATTAGCATTTTCTGTTTGCCAAGTGAAAATTAAAATTGTATTTGTTTTTTATGTAAATATTTATTGATGGAGTTTAAATGAATGAAACATTATAATTTTGAAAAGTTTAATTATCGATGTAAATATTTATATCACCGCGAATAGATTTTACATCGATTTTCAATGTAAAACTACACTATCTAAGTGTCAATAAATACAGATCGAAAGTAGAGTTTTACATTGAAAACAAAAATCAGTTTAGGGAATAAAATGAGAGAACAGTAAAATTAAAAAATATATATTAAAATTTTAAAGAATTTAACTATAATTCATTCATCCTTTTTATTGCATATCATATCAAGATTTCAATTAATTATCTTATATTTTATTTAATTTTCATTGGTTAACATTTTACAAGTGTAATTCCCATCAACATTTTAAGGAAGTTAAAAATGTTAATTATGACATGTTTTTATGATTAATTTATATTTTTAATTGAATTTTTTTTGTTTTAAATTTACAATTATATATTATAATCAAGTCTTATCGGATCAGAGCCAATTCATTCATTGACAGCATTAATTATCTGAAAGCTACTGTAGCTGGATTAACCTCATATTAGGTTTCATTTTTTATGAATGAAGCTGGCTTAGATAACTGTACCCATTTCTTTCATTTTGAATTTGGATATACCTCGATCCGATCCGTCATGACCCAATTCGATTAATTAGTTATGAAATATTATATTTTATATATTATTAATGTAATTATATATTATGTATCATAATTAATTATTTATATTATATCATCAAGTTTTTTTATTACAATTTTATTCAAATCAGATATCCAATAATATATTCAAATTTGAATTATACTTTTAAAAATTTGACATATTCTTATCAGATTCGGATCAGTCAGATTTCTTATCAAATTGGATGGATATATCCTCTATCCAATCCCATCCGATTTATTTGCAGTCCTATATGCGTCTGTAAGAGAGTTTCCAATTCCCAACCAATGAGATGATACAACATCAAAGGGAAATTTAACTGATAACAAGAATTAAGAAATAGACTTAGTGCTGTCAGTGGGTTTGATATATCTGACAAATCCGAACTGAACCGGCCCAATTATATTGGTCTAGGTCTGCATTATGTGTTCAAATTATATCAGAAAATATTGGTCAATTATATTAGGGTAGGTCTGCATTAATTTTAGGATTTAGGGATTAGGACTTGGGACACTTTCATCAACCACGGTACGAGCAAAATAAAGCTTAATTATATTAGGGTTGGGATTGATTTATCATTATTAACCATTATATAATCATGGTTCAAAGTATCGATACGATATGCCCCGTATCGGGCATTTCGTATCTATCTTTTACAAATGATATGGTCTGAAACGCCTGTTTCCAGGTGTTTCGGACCCCCATTTTTTTAATAATAAAAAACAGCCTATAATCTTTCCAAAAAACCAAAGTTAAAAAAAAAAAAACTAAAAACAAATAAGTGTTTCGGCCATTTCTATGTACCGATATGATATGGCCGAAACTCGTATCGTATCAATACTTTGAACCTTGTATATAATTATATAATTACATACACATATATACAAAAAGTTACAACGATAATTATATATAAGGTTTGCTTGGGAGCTGGTTTTACACATTTACGATTTGAATCGGATCTTGACCCGACCCGACCCATTGACAGCACCAAATAGAGTGTCGTCTAACTGTCTAAGTTGGACTGTTAGAGTCCAATCTGACCTTGACGTACGAAAAGAATCTCTTTTTTGTCAACGGTTGATTTTTCCAGTTAAGATAACATCAACCACCCTTGACGTGGGATCATCTCATTGGCCGATACGAGGAAACACTTGACTAAACAAGCCAACCGGCAAACTTACCACACAGTACTGAAACAGGAGAGAATTCTAACATACAACGCCAGTATGCATTCTAGTTAGCATTCCTCTTTGAGGGAGCGTTCTTTTTTTGGATTTTGAGATGGGGAATTGGTTAATGGGATTTTGGTTTTTATTGACCAAGAATTACATATTCTTTTTTTAGATTTATATAAGGATTATGAAAAGTTTATACCCATCTCCTAGATTGGTAAATAACTTTCTCACCTTGTGGAAAATCGTCAACACATGAATGGGACAAAAATACCCCTTATAATAATAGATTTATATGACTAAAATAGTCTTTTCTAGAAAATACTTATTTTGCATTTACGCAAATAGGGCCAAGTATAGATGTAGAAGTTGAGGAAAGTGCACTCATCACACACCTCAAAGCCTCTCATTGTAGATGTTAAGTGCCTCGGCCTAACAAATGGGTCTATTGGTGAGCCCACTTAATGGGTTTTTAATATATTCGATTAGGTGTTGGGCCATGCATGAAGTAGAGAGCCACATGGGCCTATTTGTGAAAG